GCTTCAAATCGGTAGAAATTAATTGACTTTATGGTTCAAGCAAATATGTGATATCTAGGGTCCATTCTATGCAGAGAATCTCAACCTTCATTGCTTCCTTAGGTTATTTTCCTTCTGTTTATGGATTATATCTATCTATCTTGTTAGCTTGTCTTTCAATTCTCAACATAAGCAGCCAGAATCATAAATTAAAAAAAAACATTCTTAGTGATTTTAAATTTCACAACAGGGGAAAACTTCAGTTAATAAAAATAATGTGAGTACAATATGAGTGAAAAGAATTCAGAAAAAAAGGTTGTTTAATCATATACATTTTCAACTTATGATGAGGCAGATTTAGAAGGAGAAGGACATATGAACAAACATTAAAACATCTGTCTCTGAAACTAGTTTTAGGATTCAAAGCACACCTGACTCGTAACAATTTTGAAAGCTCTGTCAATTTTATTCCATGGTGTTGATGTGTTATAGCATTGGTGGCAATTACATTAAAATCTGGGTCATTTCAATACTGTTCCTCACTATCTTTACCTAGGGCTGACTGAGTATCCGGCTACAGCTATATTCTTTTCAGACCAATATTCCTAAGAGCTTGTGCAACCAGACATCCTTATATTCCTTCAAAATGAAATTAATCTGGATATGTTCTCAAACAAGAGGATCTAAAATGCTTTTCTCTGTCACTTGGAACTAAAATATCAACATTGGAAATCTTATCTTCTGGACTGCAGTGACATCCCTAAATGAAATTTTCAGGTGTCTATCTCTGCAATCGTGTTGCATCTTAGCTGGCTTCAAGATGGAGATAAGCAGCATATAAAAAGTCAGGAGGTGATTATATCTTATCATTTATTTACATCTCCTGAGGGAGAACTGCCTCATACTTTCTGAGAGCACCAGCAAAAATGGTTAAGGCATAAACAATAATACATTATAGGCTAAATGTGTTCAGTTGTTAAAACCATATTCCTTTCATGTTATCTTTTTAAATAGCACCCAGCTGTTAAGAAACTTATGGCCAACCTTTTTGTGCCTTTCTGCAGCTCCTTTCTGTGGCTGGCATATGATCCTGGCAAAAGATGTAACTTAGTACCGCAATTGTTCTAAAAACACAGTTTTCCCTGGCTGTGCAACCCTATTGTGTAGATATGGGGAAAGGGAACAATATTTCCAAGCAAAAAGATCAAAGGAACAGAGATTCTTTGCTCATTCAAAATAAAATAAGTCACTTTTGGAAATGAAACAAAACAGTATTCATTTTACCAATCATCTAGTTTAAGTTCTCAGTGTTCCATGCTGTTGTGTCCATACAAGAAACAGCATCCTTGTTCCTTTTTGTCAGAGTTTGTTGCAGAAATCACATCCAGAAAGCACACACAGGTAATTGATTCAGCAGGATTCAACAACTTCTCTTTATAAATAATATAACACATGAAGTAAATATACAATACCAAAAGCAGGTTTTCTAACTTGGTAGTAAATATAAGCAAACACAGGCAGAGGAGAGAACAGTTTTAGTTTAGAGCAGCAGACTAGTTTAGAGCTCAGCACAGACTCAGACCTACAGAGCTGAGCCACGCCCAGGCTCCTTGCTGTCTCCTTGTTGCTCATACAGCAAATACTGTTTCAGTTTCAAACACTCACTGGTTCATTAGACTCCTACAAGTTACAATTCTTGTAGTTTTAATCAACTTATTTTAGGATCACATAACACAATGCCCAGGTTATTAAAAGTTCAGAAACATTTAAAGCAAATCTTTTCCCCTAAACAAAAATTATAAAATCACAAGTGGTAAAGACCAAGAGTTTTGTTTCTAGTTTTTGTTCAAGTTGTTGTTTAGGGAAAGAAACACCAATATCCTCTTCCTCTTGATATCTTTCCATTTTTATCATTCTCATTCTCATGAACCATGAACACTGAAATGGAATAAGAGACATTTAAAGTGCTGCTGGAGGTCAACCAAATATGGGTGACAACCACAAATAAGGCTTATTTTATGATGTAAGGCAGTAAAGTGACAATGCTTCTCTGTCCTTATAACATCCAAGGTTGTCACCCAGTAGCTTTATTATAGGTGACACAAGCCCCTCTGGACGAGGGAGACTCTGAAATTCATCTACAAGTTTATGTGAAGGCATTTTCAGAGCAGTTGTCAAATAAAATTTGTAGGACAAAATTGTTCTTGTTTTAATATTATTGATCACGATACCCTTTGGAATTAGTTTTAGGAATTGGGAGTGAGCAGTAGAGCAGTACTGTATTGTTCTGGTTCTATTCTTTCCGAAGGACCCAAAAGTAGCTGGTGGAGATTGGAAGTGAGAGATCTTGCCCTTGGCCACTATGAATTGTAAAACAAGGTGTGGTGTTCTCTCAATTTCTTTTTAATACTTACATGAAACTACTAGGGGAGATCATCCATGGCCATGGGTAAGGTATAATCAGTATGCTGATGTACCTTTCCATCCCTAGTGAATTAAATAATGCTGTTGGTTCCTGGAGGATATAGGAATGTGGCTGGGGAACAATAGGCTTCACCTGAGCCCTGGCAAGATTGAGTGGTTTTCTGTTATAGGACCATTTGAATCTGGGAGTTTACCATCTTTGATGCTGGATGGGGTAGCACTGCCTCAAAGAGTCTCAGTACATAATCTGAGGGGCCTTCTGGACTCATGATTTCCGCTTGGGGAGAAGGTGTCAGTTGTGGTTAAGATGGCCTCTGTGCAACTTCATGTTGCATGCTGTTTGTGCCCATTCCTAGATCTAAGACTCTGTGCACAATTAGAAATGTCCTGGTCACCTCCCAAATGGACTATTGTAATGTGCTTTCCATGGGGTTGCCCATGAAGAATATCTACATGATTCAGTTGGTGAAAAATACAGTAGAACAGGCAATTATATGTGCTCCTAGGAGAAAACAATATTTCTCTGCTTCATGACCTGCATTGGTTATCAGTTTGCTTCATGATGCAATCCAAAGAGCTGTTTTTAAACTTTAAAGCCAGCCATACATGGCATGGGGCCAGGTTATTTTAGGGATCACCACTTTACAGTTACATCTACCTGATTCCATCAGATCTGGCAGGAGACACAATGTTACATGTCTTATCTGTTATAGATATCCTTCTGACTGGATCTAGAAGATGAGCATTTGGTACATCATCATAAGTTGAGGTTGGCCTCAATCATACCAGCCTTCCAGAAAACATGCTTATTTCATCAGTCCTGGGAATCTCCTAGCAGATGGGAACATGCAGGTTGGCTGCACCACATATAACACTCTCATTTTAATGCTCTTATCATTTTGTTCTTACTTATGTTTAATTATTTAAACATTAAGTGGTTTTATAATATGTTTTGATTGTTGGTTTTATTTTATACCATGGAGACACTACCGTGCTTCAAAAGCAGTTTTCTTGGATTTTCCTTCCTGCAAAGAGGGCATTAAAAAGGGGTAGAGTTAAAGCGCTCCAGAATTAATGAATGAAGTTTTGGATAAATATATAATTATATATGTGAGTTAAAATCTGATTATTTATAAATATAAATATATCCCAGGGAGAGGAAGCAGTATCTACTTGATGATTTATGTCTATAATCTTGTGTCTTTAGGGTAATATAACTTGGTTTGGGCTTAACGATAAAATAGAATAGCATCACTGAAAAATCCTTAATAGGTCGATGTTGTTTAGATTTCTTTTCCCCAGGAATAATTATTGGCCAGTATTAGGTAGAATGGTAATGTGTAAAATTAAATGTACTGTATATATACAAAGTTAAAGCAATAAAATGGACATATATGCAGGACCAACCCCTTTTTAAAACAAATATTTCTTTCTTGCTGCCTTTTTCTGCTATTTTAGCACTAATAAAAAAAGGAAGATCTAGAAGTTTTAATCTTCATTTTGTAGCATTGGTGCTAAAATAGAACACAGGCTAAAAACTTTATCCTGTACATAATAGCTTGCTTGTCTGACCCCTTTTTTCTCTAACTTCTTTCTCCCATTTTGCAAGCTTTACCTCAAATGATGAAACAGAGCAACCTTGCACTTTTGTTTCTTTGTTCCTAACAAGCCCTCAGCTACCTAGGAAAAGCTGGTTAGCTGACAGAACAAAAATAGTAAATAAAAAATATATACCAGCTGCATTTTGAAACAATAATTGCCTTACAAACTAGGAAAAGTTTAGAAATTGATTGATTTGCAGATGTTTCATTATCTAACCAGATAACATCATAAGTGAAGCTGTTTGTTTTGGTCCTGGCATCTCCTTCAATGTCCCCAGAGATACATAAGACGCCCTCTCTGCCAGTTTTCAAGAACACTATTTTCTGAACTTCTTGTGTTAGTATAATTTGCAGGATATACAGTATATCAAAGCAGGAAGACATTCTTGTCTAGCCACTGAAATAATTTAAATTTCAATAGCAAAGAGAAGGTCTGAAAAGCAGTTAGAGAAGAGAGTTGACATCAGCTATTTCTGCCTCAATAATTGTTTGCTGACCTATTCTGGCCAAGGGCAGCTAGATCACCTCCCATTTGGATTACTTCAATGAATTACTGCTATTGCCACATTTGAGGAGTCCTCCCTTTGCAAACTAACCAGTGAGTTTCTAGGGTTCATCTAGAAGGATGTGCATTACAGTGAAAATAGATGGCATAAATGCAAATGATTTCTCTNAGGAGTGGCGAGTAGAGGCTGGCAAGGCGCCCCTCGATGTGAATGACAGAGTTGGCCACACCCTTCCAGTCACATGACCACCTTGCCACGCCCACCCAGCTGTCATTAGGCAGACCATTTTGGTGATCCGCGGGATTTTAAATTATGAATTTAAAATCCCGCAGATTTTAATTATGAATTTAGTGGTCCTTGAGGTCCCAAAGTTTGGGGACCTGTACGGCTTTCCACAAGTTGCTGAACTACAATTCCCAGCCTCTTCAGCAACCACGGTGGTTAAGATGAGAGCCTCGCAATATCCCAGCCTTCCATCAACCCTGCTAAATCAGACAAGAGTGCCTTACCTGGGACCAACCTCTGCGGCAACAAGATCCCCGGCCACCAGAGCCACCAGGTAAGCAGGGATGGGGTACTCCATGTAGAACTGGTATACGCCCTCTTCTTCCTCATAGTTACTTCGGGTGGCACTCATTAACACCTGCATGCCTGCAGGGGCCTGTTCAAAAAAAGAAAAGAAAAACAGAATAATAAAGAGTTGAAAGGGATCGTGGAGGTCTTCTAGTTCACCCGGTGGCTCCAGCTGGAGACTCTATACCGGGGTGAAATCCAGCAGATCCTGGAGAATTCTTAGTGGGAATTTTGAGTAGTTCGGAGAACAGGCAAATGCCACCTCTGGCTGGCCCCAGAGTGGGATGGGAATGGAGATTTTGCAGTATCCTTACCCCTGGCACGCCCACCAGGCCACACCACGCCCACAGACCCGTTAGTAAAAAAATACTGCATTTCACCACTGCTCTATACCCGGGATGGCGAACCTATGGTACGTGTGCCACAAGTGGCACGCGGAGCCTTCTTTTGAGGCTGTTTTTTGCCCTCCGGAGACTTCCTTGAAAACTCCAGAGTGCAAAAAACCAGTCCTACGGGCAAACCAGAAGTTCAAGAACGGACTTCTGGTTTGCTCATAGGGCCGTTTTTCACCCTCCGGAGCCTTTAGGCTTCCCTGAAGCTTCCGGGGGGCGAAAAACGGACCTATGGGGAACCCGGAAGTTTGGGAATGGTCACTTTCAGTTTGTCCATAGGGCTGATTTTCGACTTCAGGAGCCTTCAGGATGCTTTCCGTTTCCCCCCCTCCGGAGCCTTTAGGGTTAGGGTTAGGGTTAGGGTTAGGGTTTAGGCTTCCCTGAAGGCTCCGGAGGGGGGGAAACGGAAAGCATCCTGAAGGCTCCTGAAGTCGAAAATCAGCCCTATGGACAAACCGAAAGTGACCATTCCCAAACTTCCGGGTTCCCCGTAGGTCCGTTTTTCGCCCCCCGGAAGCTTCAGGGAAGCTCCCGAAGCCTCCAGAGGGCCTCCAGGGAAGCCAGGGGAGGGCTGTTTTCGCCCTCCCTTGGCTCCTAGAAAGCCCTCTGGAGCCTGGGGAGGGCGAAAAAACCACGTCAAATCAGGGGGTGGGTTGTCGCGCGGATAGCATTATGGGTGTGGCATGCCCGCCCACGAGCCCCCCTGAGCTCCTCCCGCTTTTGGCATGGGAACCAAAAAAGGTTAACCATCACTGCTCTATACCCATGATGGTGAACCATTGGCACGTGTGCCACCAGTGGCATGTGGAGCCTTCTCTGCAGGCATGTTGCCCAGCTCAGCTCTAGTGCATACACGCAGGTGCCTCCCACTGGCCAGCTGATTTTTCAGGCGGATTCTCTCTCAGCACACTGGAGAATGTCTTACCTTGACAACCGCGGAGTAAGTGCATTTCACAGCCGGCGTGTCAAAGCAAGGGAAGAAGGACCGGTTGCACACCGAATGGCCTTGGGTGAAAACAAATGGCTTGGAGTTGCCGTAGGTGAGCTCAGGATCCAGCCACCAGATCTGGCGGAAGGAATAGAATGAGGGGAAAAAAAACAACAACAAATAGATCAAACAGATAAGCCTTCGACTTACGGCACGCCATGAAGCCCCGAATTTCCCTTGCTAAGTGAGGCGCTTGAGTTTTGCCCCCTTTCTTGCCGCAGTCGTTCAGTGAATCATTCCATTCGGTAAGTGAATGGGTATGGCTGTTAAGTGAAGCAGGCTTTCCCATTGAGTTTGTGCGTCGGACGGTCGCAAAAGGAGACCAGGCGAGCACGGTACACTGCAACCCTCATAAATAGGAGCCAGTTGAGCAGAGTCTAAATTTGGATCACGTGACTGTGGGACTTCTACAACTGTTGTTAAGTGTGAAAAGCAGTCATAAGCCACTTTTTTTTTCATTGCCGTTGTAACTTCGAAGAGTCCCTAAATCAGGGGGTGTCCAAACTTGGGAACTTTTAAGACTTGTGGACTTCAACTCCCAGAATTCCCCAGCCAGCATTCTGGGAGTTGAAGTCCACAAGTCTTAAAAAGTTCCAAAGTTTGGACACCCCTGCCCTAAATGAACGGTTGCATTCTCGAGGTGGCGCAGTGGTTAAATGCAGCACTGCAGGCTACTTCAGCTGACTGCAGTTCTGCAGTTCGGCTGTTCAAATCTCACCGGCTCAGGG